CCAAAGCTGTAACTGTACATTGTCAAAATACAGGTGTTCTTTAGCTATATGTTAATGTCTTTAGTTATTTTAAATGAATTTGAAAATCAAAAGTGCTATCCAGTGCATGTAACTTAAATGTCTAAATATTTATGTTCCTAGTAAAGCTGCTTCTTTAGATTTTACCTCTTTTATGTTTAATGAAGGACATGATAGAAGGAGCCTAAGGGTGACCATCTCAGGTAGCCAATAGAGAAACACAGATGCTTTTAGGGTATGATAGAATCTCTTAGAATAGCTACTTTGGGATAGGATGAATCACAGCCCACAAATGCCTATTTCTCTTCAGTGACTATAAAGAGAGAGGGGGAGTAGAGTGACTCAGTGAGATGTGGTTGTTTATATTTGGTCAAATATATTTCAAGCTAAGTGCATAAGGCTACAATCCAAAGGCACCTCAGCTCTCCATGGTACCTGGGATATGCGTCTCAAATGTTCAGCTAAAAGACTGGTTGGAGTGTGCTGCAGCTTTCCTCTGGCTGGTGCCTTCATCACCCTTCTCAACTGTAACCACCCTGTGAAGGAACAGTGCACGTGTACTCAGTTCTCATCCTGATGGGGAATTGGTGTCATCCCAAAATAAAGTCAGGATGCAGACTGAACCCATGTGTTTGGATCTCACAGTTTAGACATGGCTTAAATTCCTTGTGCAACCAGTGGAAGGAGAGAGGGGATTTGGAAGGCCTCCAGAAGCCACCTCAATTTTGGTAAGATTGAATCCTGACATGTAACTTGAATATATGCTTGCTTCTGTGGTGTGTTTTCATTTCGTACTTTTCTCAGCATATATGATGAAAATAGAATAGTCTGTTTTCATGTCTCTGCATAATCAATCTCCGATTTTCCTAGGATAGAGAGATGTTGGGATGTCTGGGTGCTAGGAAGTTGAAACAATTGAAATCCTGGACTTAAAGTTCTTCTGATAAGCGTATTTTTAAAACTAAAATTAGACCTAGCAGTGTCCTTTCAGAACAGCGTACCTGCTTCCAGTTAGTAACTTGAATTTTGGCATTACTCTTTATTTTTCTAACTTATAATGATTTCTACCATCAGTTCAGCCCTGAGAGAGAGTCATATTTTGCAAAGACTGGCATCAGTGGTATGATGCATGAATAGGTCTAGGTGCCTAGTTTTAAAATCTTGGCAGCTGCCTTGACTTTTCTTTATGCTGTCATTGAAACCATAGCTACCAAGGTTGAATTCTGCTGGTAGTAGCAGTTGTGGGAAGCTACTAAGGGAAGAGTATTACTGACACAAGAAATAGTTTCAAAGTTCTTGCCATTGCTGAACTTACCAAAATGTCACTGTTGCCATACATCATTTATGGAAGGCTTAAAATCATCTTTCTGCTGTACTGAATGTCACAAAGTTACTTGATGTCTTCAATGTTAGTGTTATATATATATTCCACGCTTCTTGCAAAACTCCCTTTAAAATGAGAAGTTTTGTTGCTTCTGGGATTAGACCTAATCGCTATGATTCAAGGGTAAAGAAGGAAAAACAACTGTGCGGGTTCTGCATGTTCCAGTTATCTTCTTCTTTATTACTTCCAAAATCGTCCACTTTTCTCCAAAAGGTACAGCTACACCTTCAGAAAATTGTGTGTAATAGTCACCTTTAAGCAGCATTTTTCCCTTGATTCGTTAATTATAGGAACATGTCAAGCAGAGTAGATGGCATTTTCTGAGTTGGGAATTTACCTTTATTTGTTATTCTTTGTTGTGTTTGACATCTGAATTTCTCAGCTTCTCTAAGATGATGTCATTTTGCAATTAAGTATATAATATGATTGTATAAATTGGCCTGAAAATTGAAATCCTGGCCTTTTTCTTTGTAACTGGTGTGAAAAATGAATGGGTGCATGGGCACATCTCAATTTGAGATCAGTCACTTTGGAACTCCTCAATGCACAGAGCAGGTATTTTTAAAAATCTTTTTCTTCAGTCCATGAACTCATGTCTTATTTGCTGCACACTACTCAAGTGCCATTTTTGAGAAAGATCATACATTTTCTCTTGAGCTTTTTGATGGGGCCTAGCCGAAGGGTTCACAAATCTGACGTGATTTATTTTCAGCATGCCCTATTGAGTTGAGGGCCTTCTGATCCTTTGGCAAAGGAGGAACTAAAATGTAATAACCCACATGAGGAGCTGGGTGGGTGCGTGGCTGCTAATTTTGTGTTCATGAGTTGAAAGTCCTAGGAATGGTATCTGGGAGCCCCTCAACCCCGTTTGACTGCAGTTGAAGCTCTGCAGTGGTCGAAGGCTGGCGTGTGCACTGTGGAGCGGTGGCGCTCAAATAGGGTTGTGCGGGCAGTGGTGAACCCTCTCGCCTTTTAGGGGGTTGTGTTAGTGACTTGTGTTGTGTTTGTGGTTTTTTGGGGTTTTTTTTTAGGTAACTTGCAAGTTTCCTCCCTCTTTAGAAGCAAACTAGCGGGCCGCAGAAGCTCTCAGCACGCGTTGCCATATGAATGTGCATGTGGTCCATGGGGAGGGCGGCTGGCTCCTGTTGACTGGTGGTGCCTGTGCCACCTACTCTCCTCGGCTCTTCGTCTGGCTTGGGCACCATCTTCTTTGTTGTAACCTTCTGCTTGACCAGACCCGGGATTTCCAGACTCTGGCTCTTGCGTCTCGTCTTCTCATTGCTGTCCTTCCCTCTTCTGCCCAGCTTCGTGTCACGTTTTGGTCCACCCGACCTTTCTCACACCCCCTCCGCAGTGCGCTCTCAAGAGTCTGTCTCCTGCATGTCCGTGGGGCACCAGCCGAAGGGTCATGAAAGCAACAGGCGAGGTTGTCTTCCTGCTGTCAGCTCCAATGTCTGGTCTCCGGCAGATGGGAGCAGCAGTTACAGGGGAAATCCTGCTAATCTCCTGTAACTTGAGCCCATTACATGCTCAGGCGCACTGTGGGGCTGGTGCCTTTCCAGCCACATACGGACGGATGGCTGGAGGAGAGGCGGTGGATGCTTACTGCAGAACATTTTCTGAGGCTTGCACTGTAGAGATCAGGGGGGAAAAAAAAAAAAGATGGTGTCAGCTGAATTCTAGGAGGTTTTAAAGCTTTGTCAAATAGGAAGATACTTCTGTAAGTATAGCAAAAAACCATAGCCTTAATTTAACAAAGGCACAACCAAAAAAGCAAGGGATCCGCACTCTGCCAAATTTCAAGACCGCCCCGACAAGGGCAGGGGAACCAGGGTTCCCCGGTGAGTGAGTTACAGGGGTGACAGAGCAACATGTCTTTGTCTAGGGTATCTCAGAAATGGGCAAACTGTGTTTTGGCAGAAAAGTAAATAAATCCTGCAGCAGATGTCCAGCATGGAAAATTTTTAACATGGGCAGCTCGAGTTTGGCAAAGTCAAAAGAATGTGGAAAATACTGATGAGATGCACAAGGCCATCTTAATAACGGATGGAGTTACCACCCCTGTCCCTGGGGTCTCCCGAGACCCACCAGAATCAACTGTTTGGGTTTTGGGGGGTTTATTTTGTTTTTTTTAATAGGTCAGAATAGAGCAGAGTGGAGGGGATGATTGAGCAGAGAGGCTGGCTGGCAGGACCCTCATCGACAGGAGCCCATTTCAGCCATGCCAGGGAGGGGAGGGTTTTCACAAATTGGGTGGGAGATGGTGGAGCCCGAAGGAGAGTTTTTGCTTGTGAGATAGAGGAATAATGGATTTTTGGGAAGCCGCATTTATAATATGCAAAACAGTCCATAGGAAACAATGGGCCCTTGGGACAGAGCTGCCAGTGAATGAGAGCTTTGTTTTCTTCTTGTCTATTCATATTTCTAAACTTTTAATGGAATTTTAAACAGATTTTACATATTTTTATGTGACGGCTTGAATTGCATAAACTGCTGTCTAAAGTAGTATTGCACTGCAATCTTTATCCCTTTCTGGATAAAGATTGACTTTCAGCCTAAGCTCCTTTTTGTATTTTTCTTAATTGCAACTCTTGTTCAATAATCCTTGGCTGCTTTGTTCTCATGTTTTAAAACTTCAGCAAAATTTGTGGGAAAATTTATTGACAGCAGACCTTGCGTACCAACTGTATCAAGCTGCCTACAGTTTGACTTGAAAATGGCAAGTGGTATCGTAGTCCTTATGTCAGAACCTTGATACAAACGAACATCGGTTGTAAGCTAATCACACGAACCGCAGTTTGATGCTGCTGATGTGATTTGTCTGCCAAGGGTATTAAAACACCATCATATAGATTGTTTTCATCGAGAAGCATCCCATACCTGCAGTCCCAAAAACTGGCCTCGAGTATTCTTAAAGACATTATGTGTATGTTGCTGTTAAGCGCAAATGCTGCACAGTAAGATTATGCAGTATTAAAAGGAGAATATTACTGCCTGAAGCAGAGTGCGTTTTGGCTGCGTGTTAAAATAAAGGCTAGACTGCTTGGTTTATAGTGCACGGCTCACCTTTACAACCAAAACAGCACCACTGCAGCTCTGCAGTTTCAGAAATGCTGTTTGTGCAAGCATTTATGATTAGTAAAAGCTTTGAAAATCCTTGTGCAAGAAATGGTGTAGCTGCCGTTGCAGGGGAGGGGAAGGGAGTTGTTTGCTTTTGCTGTGTATGTTATTGCTGTCTATGTTATTTCATGGAGGTATTGCTTTACCTCACCAGTAAAACTCCTTCCCTGCGCGAGGGAAATTCCTGGTTCATCAGTATGGATGCATTGTTTTTACACATTAGAAGTGCTGTGTTGCCATGTCAATCATCCCATTCGGATCAGTTTAAGAGCAGTAGGGCTGACGAAGCTGGGTGTGATTGGCTGCCATATGTTGGGAGGGCTCTGGGAGAAGGAAGGGCTGCAGTCTTTCAGCAACAGAGTTTAGGCTGTGTCTTTGCTTCATCATCTGAGGAAAAATCCCCAGATAAGGCACAAGGCTTTCTGAGCGTGCAAAAAAAAAAAAAAAAAAAATTACGGGCTGCTCATCGTTTCATGTGACAATTACTTACCATGATGCGATGGGAAAGATATGGCTGTTTGTTTATATCGGATGTTCCTGTTCACATCGGGAATGTGCCGAATAGACAGGGCTAAACAAGGTAGGAGGATCATTGTCTTTTATTGAATGTTTAAAGAGTTTGCTGCAGTATGCTGCATACTGTATGTGTTGCTCGGGGGAGTCAGGGAAACAGCGTTTCTCCGGTGAATATATACTGCTCGGGTGCAATACGTGGATGTTATGGTAACTTGTTTTCTAAGGGAATTAATTTCCAACGTAAATAGCTCTCTTCAGAAACAGAATGTGACTACACGCGTATTAAAATAACGCATGTAAAAAAAGAAATAGGTCAGTGTGTTTCAGAAGTGCTGTTACCCTAATTGGATTTTTAGCTGGGTGTCGTCTGGTAGTGCTTCCTAGCTTTAAGAAAAAGAAGGAACCAACCTGGAAATCTGTGAAGTTTATAGCAGATATGTTTGAAGATTTAGGTGAATTAGACTGGCTGATCTAAATAATTCCCTATTGGAGGCTTTAACTAAAGCCAAGACTGTCTGTCTTAGACTTGCAGGAGCCGTACAACAAGATTACAGTATTTTACCCTGTTATAAAAGTATGGGTGTTTTTGACTGCACCGTGATTCCTTGTGCTCTTGAAGGCAAGCTGGGAGAGTTTTTCGTATTGTAGTTCAGTTGAGCGTTTCCTCTGCCCTTTCCAGGTCTTTGTCTCGGCAGCAAAACAGAACCTGCACACGAAAACAAGGAAAACAATGTTAATAATACGTGCTGCAATTATCTGATCTTTATACATTTTTAATGAGAGAACACACAGCTAGCAGAATAATTTAATGAGCAGCCTGGCTTTTAGAGCAATGATTTCACTGTGCTGAGGCACATCAACTTTCTTGCTGAGGAGGAGCCTCAGGAAGGAACGGAGATTTATGTTAAATGCTCTGGAGAGAAGGAGGAGGGTTATTTAGGCAGAAGTCTCTACAATTTTGGAAGAATAGAGGAGTTATTACTTATTATTATCTATTAGACCTTGGAAGCAAACTTTACTGTCTTATTGTGGGAAGGATCTGACGGCATTGTCTCATCCTGTGATGTGCTGAAGCTTCTTCAACTTTCTTAGACTGCCATATGCATTGATGGTGCTCAGTACCTTTCAGGATCCTACCCAGTTAGTGACCCAAATTAGCATGCTGTCTTCAGCTGTGTTATAGCAGCATTATGTATATGTACAGTATATAATATAGCTTGTAAAAAAAAAAAAAAAAATCTTTTTTTAAAAGACAGTTGGTGAAACAGCAAGAAAATGTTATCTTATTTCTCCTGTAATAGCCACAAAAATTGTATGTAGATATCTGTATTCAAATAGGACGCAAGTAGAAAAATTAAGTGTATGAGCTGAGGAGGACTAAAGATCAATATTTTAAAGAAGAAATTAGGTAAGAGAACCTTTTACTGCCTAGAAGAGCTTTTGATGGTGTAATTTTGGGGAAAAGTTTCAAGATTATTTCCCCCCCCCCGGAACAAGTTACGCTAGTTTTAAAACTATTGCATTAAATAGGCCCTTCTAGACCAACCATTCCCCGTTTTCCAAGGAGAAGTACAGGGCACGGGCTCAAAACTTCTGATGTCACCTCCCAGCTCCTTACAGCTGACCCTGCTCAGAGGAGGCTGATTCAAATTTCCCATTCCCTGGCTAAATATTTGCTGAAGACCTGCAGCTAGGTTGTTGACACATCTTCAATTTATAAACCGGTCATTTTAAAATGTTACGCTTTTCAAAGTAAAATCAACCTTGTGTCTTCTGAGAATCTCAAACTCTGCTAACAAGTGAAACGTGTCAGGGTATAGAGCATTATTATTAAAAATCCATGGGGTGTGGATATGTGTGTTTGAATATCACTGTCGATGTTTAAATGTGGTGTTAAAAGTCAAAATAACCTCTTCCAAGCTATAAAATGTGAGCTAAATTTTTAATTTTTGCAAATAAAATCATTTTCGTGCACAGCTTACAGAGAAAACTTTTCAGTCTCATGTTTTGAGACAGCCTCTTCCTTTCAGATAATTTAAGTGGCTGGGTTTTGTACCTTTAAGATTGGCAGTTAGGCATAAGGAGGGTAATGCTATACATTACAAAGTGAAAATTTACATTCATCACTCAATCAAATAGTTTGTAGCAAACTATTGACAGACAATCAAGCAACAAAGGGATTAAAAAAATTCTTTCCTGCTCAAGGAATACTTTATAGAGATAGGTAGCTGTGCTTTTGTCTTGGAGCGTAGAGGTGGCCGTAAATACTCTGTATTTATGTAAATAGTTGGTAATAAAAGTATTTTGGACCAGGTTCTGGTACCTCTTTTCATTTAGTAGTATCTCTTCCTCTTAATTGCTCTGTGGATTTCATCAGAGCTATTTGTGCGGTAACGTCTTACTGTGTGCAGTCTGTTTTCAAGGAATAATTACTCTGTTTAGAATTAGTTTCTTCATTTTCCTAAGATAGGGTTTACTAATGAGTTACTTGTTCTGAAGTATAGTGTTTTGACTACAGAGTGTTTATAAAGCCAAATGAAGTTCTTAATTTGTAAGCATGTATTTTATAGAAATCTAAAATAATCGCATGCTACAATTTTTTTTAATTTTTTTTTTTTGAGAAAGAAAAGTAGCTCTTAATGTTATGTGGGATTTCAGGCACTCAGGTCTGGTAACTCATTTCTGCTGTGAATGAATGTTGTTCTCTGTTGCTCACAAGTATGTCAGGAATAATCTATACTGTGTTTATTTGTAAAAAGCTCTGTAAAATGTTCAGTTTTTATAGTATTGAGAGATGAGAAAAAGACTTAGTGTTCAAATGAAATTCCTCATTAATGATTTCACATATGGTTTTAACTTCCTAAATCATTAGTTAGACATGTTGCTAAGATTTAAATTTCACATAATAGCTATTAGTGATACCTTGTTTTCTAATGTTACTAGAAATTTCTGACTTTGAAGATTTTTTTTTTCTTTCAGGGAAGAAACACTTTTTTTTCCAAAAGCCCAATGTTTTTTTCCTCTTTTTTTGTGAATAAAAACACATGGCTGTTACAAAATTGTAGCAAAAGAGAATAAAATCACTCGCCTTAGAATTTGTTAGTATATATTTTCTTTTAAAAACCATTTTCCAGCCTTTGATTGTGAAGCTAATTTGATATGTTACATTTAAAACAATGTGTTATGGTTAACTGGTGTGAACCAGTGCTATGTAACTGGTCTGTAGACAGGCTGAAATTATAGCCTGAGGAAAATAAAACTCGTTTCAGGAGGGTGTCAGTGCAGAAAACTAGTTCAAATAATAGTATTATTAACTTCTTGACTAATTAAACTAATCTTCTTATACATTATTAGCAAATGCAGTGGCAGTTGTTGGTTATTGATATCAAGAGTCCAAAGTCTCCTTTTAAAAACAAACTTTTCGGCTGTATTTGGAGTAGAGGGTACATGAGGAGAAAGAAATCATGCAGCCCTTTTCTAGAATCTGCCAACTTCTTAATCACCCCAATTTTTTTTTATTATTCTTTTTTAATAAGGCCATTAAAACATCGAGCTCTCACTCTGACAACACTGGCAATGTAAAGTTCTTAGCTCAGTATTTTGGGCACGCTATAAAAGGAAAACTCTGGGGCTGTGAAAATTGAAGAGCATATGCAACAGGAGATTAAATGCAAAATCCTTATAACTAACACAAAGAAATACTAATTATGTAGGGACTTTTTGTGCTAGTGATGATTATTAAAGCTGTTGAGAACTGCCAGTGTGCAGCTTGCTGCTTCTGCAGAAGACCTGTAGGATCTGGTGGGCTTGTGACACCTTAAACATAGCAAGTTAGAAGAGCTCAGTTATAGTTCTGGTAAACAAAAGGGATGAACACACATGTTCACAATCTCCCCCCCCCTTTTATACCTAGATGTATGTCCACAAATGCATACACACATGTGTAATATACACACACTCATAAAAATATGGTTTTTCATCTTTGTGATTTTTTTGCAATACAAAACCAATAGCTAATAAAGACAGTAGGAGGGATTTAGTGGTACAGTTGTTGCATAAAGAAATGGATCAAGAAATAGGAACATATGGCTCATCAGTCTATTTTTTTTCTATTTTAGATCAATAATTTTTATCAGTTTCTGAGTGGATGATAAACAGCGTTTCAGGAAGGTCTGGGTGTCGCACATTGCTGAACTCATAAATACAGACAAGGTCAGTCTGGAGGTTCATGTACTGTAAAATCTTCTCTCCTGCAGAGAGTACAACGCCTCTGACAATAGGCAGAATTAGAGAATACAGGTAAGGAAAAAATACAGAAATGTTTTCTCTCTGTGGTTTTATGGAAGGCAGCTAGGACTTGGTTAGAAATGCTTTTTTTTTTCTTTTTGTGAATTCTGAAGGCAACTTTTCAGTATGTTTTTTGTGTGTGATCACTTTTAAGAGATAGGCCTAGCAAATAATTTTTAAAAAAAATTTGTTTTTTAACCCTCTAGCGTTCTCTCCTATCCAGGCTGAATACTTTTTTTCCTGGGTGTCTGAGGATTTTTTTTTTAAATGCTCTGTTATATATATCCTAAAGGTATACCAAATGGCTCAGCACACACACCCCACCCCCCCATTTCCTGAATCTGTCATGATTTTTGCACTTCATAGGTATCATGAGCAGTGTACTGAACTGAGTGTAAAACTAACTGTAAATTGCAAAGTGGCAAGACTTCTGTTTATTTTCAAGCGCTCGGAAGGGTGACTTTCAGTGCTGGGTTTCAGTGTGTTGGGTTTATACCTTAATGCTCTCCTCCGGCAGCCCTCTGGGAGACTCCTCCTGACATCAAGGTGGGGGAAACGGCTGCCCTGTAGGATATCAAAACCTAGTTTTAGCCCATTTTTATCTTTTTTTGGGGTATTCCTTCCCCCTTTTCAGACGGTCTGCAGTGCTGTTAGCAGCAGCTCTATACATATTTCAAGCCTACAGCCGCACTGGTTTGTCAGTAAACACCTCTGGCTGTGCTTCTGGTGGGACGGGCAGGCCCATGGCTGGCAGGAGCATACCTCTGCGCCCGGTTAATGGTTCAGGACTTCAGCACTGCCCTGCTTTTATTTAAAAGGCTGTGATAACACGTACGGGACTTCCCTCATGGCTGTGTTCACCCGTAACACAGCATCCCCAGCTACAGCCTCCTCCTGCTGCGAGGGGATCAACACTGGCTCTCCCGCCTCGTCTCCCCGCCCCGCAGCCCAAAAGCGGTGGGGCCTGGGACACCTCCTCCGGCTGGCGAGAGGCTTTTGCGGAGGAGGACGCCAGTGCGTGGGCTGCCTGTGCTAGGGATTGCAGTGCTGCAGTCCTTATTGGCATGCTGAACATGCACCGGCAGCACGGCGCGCCGCTGTCCTGGAGCTCTAGCACTTGCGTTTAAAAACTTTTCTCTTCACGTGTATTTTTTTTTTTTTTACAGTTCCCTTGTGTATTTTAGTCCCCCTCTGCTAATCCTGGGACACGCTTTGGGGCTGGATTGCTTTATTGCCATAATTTTAAGGCGGTGGGGGGAAGCAAAAAAAACCCTAGGATTTTCTTTGCCACAGTGCAGAAGGCATGAAAGGCTTTGAAAGTGGCTTCACTGATGTGTTTATAAAGCCAGTGCTTTTTTATTTTTGCTTTTTTTTTAAAAGACCTCATTTAATGCTCATGACTTTGCGTGGTGAGGCCATTTTTAAAGGCTTTGCTATCCACAGTAGCAGCTCTTTGAAGTGGAAGCACCAGCGAGGGACAAGCCAGTGGCTTAATCCTTGGTGTAAAAGGTCCTAAGTGGTAAGAAGCCACAACGTCTGTCTCAAGGGGGGAACCTGGAGAGCAATACCTTGAACTAAATCCATCTCCTGGACCTGGACCTCACCTGTGGAGCTGGAAGTGGTTGGACACTTCTGTAGGATGTGAGGGACCCAGTCCCCCTCCTTTCTCTCTCTGGTTTCTTGCTCTCTTTCTGTCCGGTAAGCTGATCCCCAGTCTCTTGAGGAGCAGGACACAAGCACTGAAGGGCAAGGGAGTGAGGCCTGAGAACAAACACATGTTCCTGTGAGGGTTTTTTTTGCCTTCCTAAGTTGGTAAGTCATCCCTCTGGAGTGCAGAGCAGGTGGCACAGTCACTCGTGTGATCTGTCGGTCCTTGTGGGCATGTGTCTGTCCGGTTAGGTCAGTGGCTTCATGGTGGCCCCAGGAGATAAAGCTGTGCCTTCACGTTCTGAATCGTCCTTTGGAGGTGCCTGTCTGCCCTTTGGCATGAGGACAATGAAGGAGATTGTGTTTTTTGGTCGTCAGTGACACATTTGAGTGCCTGAAGATAGGTGGAACGAGTCTGCCATCTCCGAAATCTGTTTGTTTGAAACAGGAGATGAAAGTATTGAGTTTCTCATGGGAGGGCTTGAGGATCAGCGTGTCCCTATGGATCTGTAGCCAGCCCTGGCTGCAGGACTAGACTGCTTGTAAGGAGCTGCCATCCCGAGGTGGAGAAGGCAAAAGGGTAAGCTGAGGGGAGGAATATGTGCCTTCACTGGCACATGACTCTAGCTGTTAATCGCCAGGGTTGAGAGGCTTTCTGAGGAGGATGTTCCTTCTCAACCATTGAATTTAGTAGCCATTGGTGATTCTGATGACTAATTAAATAATCTGATTTTCAGGTTGAAAAGTTATTTTAAACTTGTTCATAGTTTTGACCTTCAGTACATCACCTGCCATTTAACTTCACGCTCTAGCTGTTTGCCATATGCAAAGATAACTGTCTGTTGTATGGCTTCCTGACTGGTCATTCACTGAGTGTCCCCTGCCTCCTAGTCAAAATTTAGTGGTCCTCATCATCAGTCTGTATGAATGTCATATTCTTTCTGTTGTCAAGAGCCTCCCCGTTGCCTCTTCATATATGTAAGCCTTTCTGTAGCACTGATGGTGCTGTTGCTGTTCTCCCTCTCTTTTCTAGCTCTGCGGTAATCTCTTTGAAATGGAGGGGATCCTAACTTGATTTATCACTCAATAGTTACGTGCTCCATGACTATATGTAGTAGCGTAATTCCTTTCTTTTTCCTTTGATATTGCCAAGTGTTCTGCTTGCTTTATACTCCATCAACTGCTGAATATTTTGCTGAAGTTTTCATCGAATTGCCTGTAATGTCCACAAGATCTTTCCTCTGTAGTAGTGTCTTGTTTGAACCTAGTGTTTTGTGTGTACTATTTATTACTTTTTGGGTTTTTCCCCTCATCTGCATTATTTTGCTTATCTTTATGTTAAGCTCTTATGTCATTTTATCATCCAGTGTACTCATCATCATGAGATCCTTTTGTAACTCTTCACAGTTGGCTTCAGGTATGACTTTGCAAAAATTTTGTTAACTGCAAACTATCTTTTATTGTTTATGGCTATGTTGCAAAGCAGAGGAGGACAACTCTGTTGGTAAACTTCATTATGAAAATTACAGCAGATTATTAAAAGTAAAAGCATGATATTTAACCATGTGAGTTTGGGTTTGGGGGCTTTTGTAGAATTTGACCCTGAACAACTGCTCTGACTTCAGTCTTTATGCCATCTGCAAATGCTTAGCACTTTTAGCTACCCTTTTTAATTAAATTTCTTTTAACATCCATAAGACTCATGCCATCATGAGAACTAGGTCCCACAAAAATCATAAGCTTACAAAGTTGAGATGTTTCATTTGCTTTTATTTTGCTTAATTTTGAGCTTTTAGGATTTGTATTTTATAGCTCTTCTCTATTGTTGTCAGAATTGTACTTTTTGATAAAAACTGACTGTTCCTTGTAAACATACTTGTAGATGATAAGGCTTTATGAAATGCACTTGATGTTTTCAGGCTTCCAGTGAAAGGGGTGACAGGTTCTGCAGTAGGATTGTGTAGTGGGTCCTTTAACTTGAGGATTTGTGTTACAGGAATTGATACAGGTGTGGGGTGTGTTTTTTGTTTGTTTTTTTTTTTCTTCTTAGAGAGAAATGAAATTAAAACATGCTTAGTAGTAATGGTCTGCTTTGGTAAAGATAACCACCTGTATCCCAACCCTCTTGGTCTCCAGACACCAAAACGTTAGCAAACTTCACTTAGGGGAAAGGTAAATGTGATAGTGTTCATCTTTGGAGTGCTTCACTGCAAGGTAAAAATGATTGCCCTGAAATAGAACTTTAGAAACAGCAGGCGAGTGTCTACTTTTCTGATGTAAAAATACTAAACTTTTTTTGTGGCTGTATTGACTCCAGTGCTGCAGTTACGAAATTTAGATTGCGTTGTGCCTTGTGCATCAGCAGGGTTGTTCTTTAAAATTTTCCTGGTGGACCTTGCTTGGTGAATGTTTGGCAATAATGAAGTCAGAAAAAACCTAGAACCTTAAATTGTGGATTTCCATCCAATTTTACAGAACCATAATAATTAAATTAGAAAAAAAAAACCAAACCAAACCCTCTTAACTTGTAAATTGAGTGAACTTTGTTCATAAGAAATCCTAAAAACACAGAACTAGAATACCACTGCATCTTTTTAGCCTCTCCCTTTTCTGTCTTTTCAGAGTATAATAGTGCTTTTTTTGGTAGTGGACAGGCAGTTCTGTTCAGTTGCTGTAAAGTGGTACCATGGTTACTACTATTTCAGATGATGGGCAGAGGAATAAATGTGGAGAAGGGCCTTTCAAGTAGGTTTCCAAGATTTCTAGAGCCTATGCATTGTAATAAAGTGGGTATCTCTGTGAAAGCCAAATATTGGTAATGTATACTTTACATCCCATAAAGTTGCAGAGGATTGCTGGAGGGCATAATTTTGACTCAGAGAGCGTTGGTTAATCTGTCTGCGTTTTTTTTTCTGGTCTGGTTTGATTTTGTCTCACCTGCTTTGTCCTGGAAATGTTCTATGAAATGGAAAGAAGTCCTATCAAGTGTCAGGGGCCAGTGTGTGTACATAGGCTGAAGGTTAGAAGATATAAAATCTCTTATTTACAAGCTAAGCAAATATTGCATTAAAAAGAGGCACATTCAACACAGAAATCTGCTAAGTCATTTTTGCAAAGTTGTTTTTTTGGAATAGAAATGCATGTAAGCATGACAGCAGCAGTCCACTTCTTATGTTTATAAATGGACAATTTTTTATCTCTGAATATTGTTGTTGATGTTATTGATTTGACCAAATCCAAAATATTTTTTGTGCTATTTATTGACTTTAACACAGAAA